AATTGCTTACTTCTACTTCATTTGAACTTTGGTGGATAGTTGTCTCATTGGCAATCATACCACATCTCCTTATTTTTATATTGTCCTACTCCTCAACAAATTAACATTGTCCTACTCCTAAACAACTAATTAATGGGCATTTAAAAAGTCGGAATGCGAATATATATGTTCAAACTCTTTTAGGTCATTTTTTAGTAACAACAAACAAAAGAACTATGTCAATTGGACCTGCTTTGATACTATAACTGCCCTTGAATTTTTACTAGATAATATTTTTGTTCGCTATGGAGATTCCGTATATCGTCAGGTTATCCGACTTCCCATGGGGACTAACTGTGCACCACTTATTGTGGACCTGTTTCTGTATTGTTATGAGTTACAATTTATGACTAAAATCAGCAAAGACCCACCGAAACAACATCTGATTCAAAAATTTAATAGCACTTTTAGATATTTAGGTGATATATTGGCTCTCAATAATGACGACTTCAGTATGTACACTAAAGAGATTTATCCTGCCGAACTGACTTTAAATAAAGCTAATACTAACAATGAACACTGCCCTTTCCTGGATCTTGATATCTTTATCTTTAACGGGAAGCTTAATACCAAAATTTATGATAAAAGAGACGATTTTTCATTTCCTATTGTTAATTATCCATTTCTAGATGGTGACGTTCCCTTGTCGTCATCTTATGGTGTTTACATATCTCAACTTGTTCGATTCGCTCGTGTATGTAACAACGTATTTGATTTCAACGAAAGAAATCTCTGTATTACTGAAAAATTATTACACCAGGGTTTTGGATATCACAAACCAGTCAAAACATTTACTATTTTATCATCGGTACAAGGACATCATTCGTAAATATAAATCAACATGCAGACGTTCAGGTATTTCACATCCAATATTTTATGGTAATATTCTTTACAAAGCACAAACATGTCGACATTCACCTCAAAAGCAAACCAAACCTTTAAACAGACTTATTCGGAAAGGATATAGTTACGATACTGTTGTCAAGTCATTAAGGATTGCATATTTTGGTATTAATATTGATTCACTCATAAGGTCTTTGCATCGGAAATAAATACATTTATTCTAAAACCAGTTGTTGGCATGATACGGGTTATGTTCTTCTCATATATTTTATGATGGTATGATACTAAACCCCTAACAGGAGGGATTGTACTTGATTTTAATATGATGAAGACATACTCTTTCAATCAGTTTAATTGAGGTCTGGAGCTGGCATGTCAGTAACTGCTAGTGGTCCTTTGTTCATTTATGTATCATTGTCATTTTGCTTAGTTTCTTTTGTTACCTATTCTGACATCGGACTCGGACTTCTTTTAAACTGAGTTTTACTGTGCGCATTGCTATGTGTTTCTTTATTCTACATTGGCTAGAGGTATATGGAGAGGGTTGAGATCTCACAAAACATGTTAATCCCGCCGCATTTTTAGCGCCTGTCCCAAGACAGGAGCCTCTGGCCTTTGTTAACTTGTATGTTTTTTTAATTTTAGTTCATTTATATGTTTTGGAGTTTAGTGTGACGTCCATTTTCACTGAACTAGCACACAATTTTATTTAGGGGCCAGCTGAGGACCACCTCCGGGTGCGGAATTTTCTCGCTGCGTTGAAGACCCATCGGTGGCCTTCGGCTGTTGTCTGCTCTTTGGTCGGGTTGTTGTCTCTTTGACATATTCCCCATTTCCATTCTCAATTTTATTGTCTTGGTCCTGAACAACTAAACATTGTCCTACTCATGAACAACTAAACATTGTCCTGCTCCTGAACAACTTAACATCATTTTTATACGCAACGACTATACATTGTCCTGCTCCTCGGCAACTAAACATCATCCTGATACTCAACGACTATACATTGTCCTGCTCCTCGACAACCAAACATCATCCTAATACTCAATGACTATACATTGTCCTGCTCCTCGACAACTATATATCCACCTGCTCCTCGACAACTAAACATCATTCTGACACTCAACGACTATACATTGTCCTGCTCCTCGACAACCAAACAACATCCTAATACTCAACGGCTATACATTGTCCTGCTCCTCGACAACTATATATCCACCTGCTCCTCAACGACTAAACATCATTCTAATACTCAACGACTATACATTGTCCTGCTCCTCGGCAACTAAACATCATCTTAATACGCAACGACTATACATTGTCCTGCTCTTCGACAACTAAACATCATCCTAATACTCAACGACTGTACATTGTCCTGCTCCTCGACAACTATATATCCACCTGCTCCTCAATGACTAAACATCATCCTGATACTCAACGACTATACATTGTCCTGCTCCTCGACAACCAAACATCATCCTAATACTCAACGACTATACATTGTCCTGCTCCTCGGCAACTAAACATCATCCTGATACTCAACGACTATACATTGTCCTGCTCCTCGACAACTATATATCCACCTGCTCCTCAACGACTAAACATCATCCTAATACTCAACGACTATACATTGTCCTGCTCCTCGACAACTATATATCCACCTGCTCCCCGACGACTAAACATCATCCTAATACTCAACGACTATACATTGTCCAGCTCCTCGGCAACTAAACATCATCTTAATACGCAACGACTATACATTGCCCTGCTCCTCGACAACTAAACATCATCCTGATACTCAACGACTATACATTGTCCTGCTCCTCGACAACTATATATCCACCTGCTCCGCAACGACTAAACATCATCCTAATACTCAACGACTATACATTGTCCTGCTCCTCGGCAACTAAACATCATCTTAATACGCAACGACTATACATTGCCCTGCTCCTCGACAACTAAACATCATCCTAATACTCAACGACTATACATTGTCCTACTCCTCGACAACTATATATCCACCTGCTCCTCGACAACTAAACATCATCCTGATACACAACGACTATACATTGTCCTGCTCCTCGACAATTATATATCCACCTGCTTCTCAACGACTAAACATAATCCTGGTACTCAACGATTATACATTGTCCTGCTTCTCGACAACTATATATCCACCTGCTCCTCAACAACTAAACATCATCTAGATACTCAACGACTATACATTGTCCTGCTCTTCGACAACTATATATCCACCTGCTCCTCAACGACTAAACATCATCCTGATACTCAACGACTATACATTGTCTTGCTTCTCGACAACTAAATATCCACCTGCTCCTGAACAACTGAACATCATCCTAATACTCAACGACTATACATTGTCCTGCTCCTCGACAACTATATATCCACCTGCTCCTCGACAACTAAACATCATCCTGCTACTCAACGACTATACATTGTTCTGCTCCTCAACAACTGTATATCCACCTGCTCCTCATCAACTCAACATCATCCTGATACTCAACGACTAAACATTGTCCTGCTCCTCGACAACTATATAACCACCTGCTCCTCAACAACTCAACTAAATAGTGTTCTACTTTTCAACAACTAAACATTATCTTGCAAAAACATTAATAGATAACTGTCATCCTGCTCATAGATATAAATATTAAATTCATATTTCAAAACTGTCAATAAATTTGTATTTTTACTCAGTATTTAAATCCTTAAATTTCAGTTTGGCCTTTGGAGTCTATGCATATTGAAATGAAGTTCCAAAGGCAAAGCCTACTGACGAATCCCATTATAAATGTTCACATTTTTAACAGTATAAATGGGATGAAACCGACAAGGCCAGACAGACGCTGAATTCATTTATTGCATGTTCAGTATCATTACTGAGAATTCTCACTGATATTCTAAAATATTGATACTGTAACTTGCATTCAATTCATATTTCAGAGGATTCGACCAACTTGTATGTTAAATCCTTAAACTTCAGATTATTCTTGAGAGTTTAGGCAAAATCAAATACCAAATGCAGCATATTTGCAGAACCACATCGGTCATGGTAATTTTCAAGTGTTTCTTTTCGGACTGAGCAGAATTATCATTCATCGTTAGTGTTTTGTGACTTACTGAAGTATCTGTATTACTATTTTATTATGTAAAACTGTCCATATTCACCTTACAGACAACACAACAGAATTATAGATTTTAAAGATGCACGCGACTGCTTGCACCCACAAGAATCCGCACCTGGACGTCATTGACAACATTCGACCACCAAACAATGGAAGCCTGGGTTCACACATTTATTTGTAAAAAAAGTTTGATTTACTAGTACTAAGGTTTATACCATATATTTATACCATGACACTCGATTGATTTGTAATGGATCGGCGACAATAAAAACTTCTTCAGTGTAACATTGACAGGTATTTTATTTCTGTGTATAATGTGACTTGTCTTGCATGTTTCATAATTATGTTATGTAACGGAAACATGTTTGTATATTTATTTTGTTTACTTTTGGCATTTAGATATGTGGGATGTTATGATTTAATACAGAATGTTCACATCGGTGACACACACATGAATTCAGATGTACGTGGCGAAGTACCGGGATCACCTTGCTTGAAAACTCTTGTACAATCCGGCAGCGTGCAACGTTTTGAAAACCAGTTTTCCATTTTTGAAAAGGACAATAAAAATAAATTGATAAAACATGAACCAAATACTCAGCCAAATCCAACTATGCGACAAACAATTACGGAGACTGTTCTAAAATCTCTCGATATGAGTGTGAATCCTTGTGACAATTTCTTTAAATTTGCTTGCGGTGGTTATATTAAAGAAACCAATCCGCCAAGCGGAGATCAGTGGGCTTTCGGCAGACCACGAAACAGAATCAGAGATGCTGTCAAGGCGGAAATTCAAAGTATCGTTAAACAAAGTGACCAAATTCCACTGAAAAAAGCAAAACAACTATTCCAGTCATGCATGGATGAGCAAACCACAGAAATCCGAGGAGTAGAACCTATCCTTAAGTATTTGTCTGCCCTTGGTGGGTGGCCTGTGCTAGGAACCTGGGATAGTAAGATCTTTGATTATATAGACTTGTTAGCGGTAACAAAACCACTTTTGAAAGACTGGCAATTTCATTACCAGATGTCTGGAGTAATTATTGGTATGACGGTGCAAAAGGATTTTGGTGAAAAAGGTCCATATGCTATATATTTAGACCAGCCTCGATTAGGACAGTTTGATTTTTCTGGATTACCAAACCAGGAGGTTTATCGACTTGGGAGACACAACTTATATAACAAGGCCTATGAAGAATATTTAGTAGATGTTGCAGTTTCCCTCGGGGCACATCCTAACATCGCCAAAAAGGACATGTTTGATGTTGTAGAATTTGAAACTGCATTAGCAAAAATAATGTTATTCGAGGAAGAAAGAAGACTAGTAAATATTCGATATAATAAGATAAGTATTCTTGAAATGTCAATTAGGTATCCAAAAATTGACTGGCTACGGTTTTTAAGGAAAATTCTGGCCATAGCGAATATCCATGTAACTTATCAGACTAAGGTTGTCCTATGGGCTTCTCCCTACTTCGATCAGTTGAGCTCAATTATTACTAAAACATCAAAAAGAACTTTGGCTAATTATATTTTATTCCGAGCGATTCAGCCTTTATTGCCAAGTGTAAGTAAAAATCTACAATATGTAAACCTCCGATACATTGCGACTGTCAACGGATTAAGTGAACCAAAGTTACCACAAAGGTCTGACTTTTGTACTGATATAGTTATTGAACAGATGGACTGGGTGACTAGTCGAATATTCATAGCAAATAAAACAGATTCTGACCAAACGCTCGCATACGTAAACGAGATAAGAGGATATGTTCGGTTTATTTTAACAGATATGATAAGTAAATCAAAATGGTTGTCAGACAGAACAAAATTGCAAGTCCTTAGAAAAATGAAATCAATTGAAGATAAATTAGGATTCCCAGAAGAAATTTTACAAGACAGTTTTCTCGATTTTTATTACCGACATTTTGATATGGGAAAATATTTTTTTGAAAACATGGTGGAATCACTAACAGAAAATTACAAAATTGTTCTGTTAAAACTTACAAACCCACCTAAGAATGAATGGCTCCTCCGTCCTGGGGCAGTAAATGCATGGCATAATTTGGCCACAACATCCATTGAAATACCATTGGGAACAATGAGTGACCCATTCTTCGAAAACTATTATTCAGCTGGAATGAATTTTGGCGGCATTGGATTTTTAATTGGACATGAATACGCTCATGGATTTGAAGTTATAGGGATGAAATTTGACTGGAACGGACTAATTCGAAGATATTGGTCCGATAAATCTGCGTTTAATTTTGCCGATAAAGCTGACTGTTATGTACGTCAATACTCGCAATATTATATACCGGAAGCCGATTTATATGTTACCAATGGAAATAAAACATTAAATGAAAATTTGTGTGACCATATAGGCGTAAGAGCAGCATTTTATGCATATAAAAAATTTAAGCACGATAGAAACATAAGTGAGAAAGTGCCAGGACTACCGTTTACAGACGACCAACTGTTCTTTATAAATATGGCAAGAATATGGTGTTCTAACTCATCACCTTTATTTATCAGAAAAGTGCCTTTAGTTGATCATCACACTCTCCCTAGGTTAAGAGTGATTGGTCCACTCCAAAACAGCCCAGAATTCGCATCAACATTTCAGTGTCCAAGAGGTTCATTTATGAATCCCATAAACAAATGTGGGTTTTGGTAGACAGTTTCTATCAGCAATAACATTAATAAGCGAGATATTTATTTAGATATGATTGTAATTAATCAGTTACAAATAAAATCATTCAATAATAGCTTGATTTGTTTTCTAACAAATGGACCCCATTTGATTGTTCCCTCATCAAGATTTGTTGCATCACATCACGCCTAAAGAAAATTCCACTTTCAACACTCAAAATGACTGCAGTAGTAACCCATAGTTTAAACATTAAGCAAAAAACTGTTTACAACAGAAAACGGAATAAAGTCCGAGGATCATATTTCACGTTATATCCTCAAGGCACCCAAAAGGTCTTGTATGGACTTCACAAGTTATAATTCATACATTGACGGAATATTTCTGTAAATGCTAATAAATTATTTGATTTGGGCAGGGCATTTTAGTGGAACTATGAGTAATAAAGTTTCTTGTAAAATTAATTTCGTTTCAAGCCAGATTACCAATTTTTCTCAGGTTATAGAAAAGTTTCTTTTTATCTACGCGAATCAGAAAGCATCTATATAAGCTCATTATAGATACCAAAGTTAAAATTTTGTACTCCAGACGCTCGTTCCTTCTTCAAAAGACTCATCAGTGACACTCGAATAAACAAAAGTAAAAGGCAAAATAAAGTACGAAGATGCACAAAATAATAAGACATAAACACATATCTTCAGATATGTTGCGTCTCGTTTGAATTGTTTTACATTTTGTCATGGCGGGCCTTTAGTAGCCTACTATACGGTATGGGATTTGCTCATTGTTGAAGGCCACGAGGTTACTCACATGTAAGTCATTTGGTATTGATGGATAGTCACTATTGCAATTATACTACATCATCTTCTATTTTTATGTTTTATGTTTTTGTTTACTGGTTTTAAAGAGAGTTCAATCAGGTATCATGGAATTATAAGATCTAAACTAAATCCTTATACATTCAGAATCACCTTTCACTACTTAGGTTATGTGTCAAATAAATAAATTTCTAAAGATAAACGAAGGTCGTCGATCCCAATGAACCAAATATCTAGTCCATTACGACAATTGGTAATTCCATAAACTTTGAAACATCGAAAGGCAAAAAAGTTTTAAGACATAAATGATTTTCTAAGTGGTAAAATTCCCGTTCTTGGTATAAACAAGTTTGCATCATACAGATCAATATCACAGAAACTTCTAAATCGTGAGCTGTCGCCATCAGAAGTTGTTCGGTCGTCTTCAAGTGAAATAATAAAAAAGGATGAAATAATAGTCTATGGCACTTTACTTTACATCGTTTATCCGATATGGGTCATAAACGATGTAAAGTATAATTAATATAACGTTTGCAACTTAAGGATCAGAATACAACCCTTTCTAAAGTACCTGATATAATTCCTGTTTTGCATTTTATTCGTCTTGTTCTTATAAAAATTAAGGAATGAACGAGTTTTATTTACGATTTCATTGAGTAAGAAAAGAACAGACACATTTGGAATATATAAGAAACTATACCATAAAACTTCACTTATTTTTATGATTTGTCTCCAAAAACTGCTTTACATTTTTTTTTAAATCAGTAATTGTATTTCTACATTAAACTAAGATTTTGTTAGTTTATTACGATATAATGGTACTAATGAAAATTAATGGAGCGTTTAATTTTTTTTTTTTTTTTGTCCCCTTGTTTTTTCTATCAAAATGACATTTTAGGTCAAAGAGTTTTTCATACATTATGGTTTTATACTATTTTGATGTACATTTATGCAAAGCTAGTTGATCATGTTCACTCTGAAAAGCTTGTGAAATAAATTGCCACAGGCGATACACTATATAGACTAGCTATACACGACTACATTAAACTTGTTTTGTGACTAATGAAAGCATTAAATGTCCTACATAATTTTTTGGAACATGAAATCAATCTACATATATTTCTTTTAAAGTTAACAGAACTAGGTTAAGAACAGGAGAAAAAAGAGATTATTTATCTGAATGTACCTGTTTATTTCATTCTCTTTCTATTTCAATTTATTAAATTCAACTACATCAATCCTAATAGGTTTTCTGGACATTTGATACCTTTTCCGAAAATTGATAAACTGTCTGACCATCACAGTCAGGAAATCGATCTGCCATATTTCAAAACTCTTGCACAGTTAGGAAGTGGTATACTATTTGAAAACCAATTTCAAAAAATTGTAAATTCGAGTCAAACTGACATTTAAGTGAAAAAAAGGTAACACGAATACAAGACAACAGCTCACGGAGGTGATCACCATACACATTTTGGTATACTGTGGTTTAAGAACAGCCCCACTCATACATTGAGTTTTCGAAAATTCTACCAAAACATATATTTCATAAGAAAATCATAACCAATTTGTATATTTCCAAGCTATCATACATACAATTTGTGACATCTTATTTTGACACATGGGATCATTCATATTATAATGCATTCGGAATATTTAATAAATGTACTTCCAGTACTGTTGTGAAGATGATCCTGCTTTTTTTTTGAGCGAGGTGATATGTTGTCTAGCATTGCATAAGTTAATAATTATCTTAATAATTGGTCAAAACAAAATTATTTGGCTATTTAGTGTAGACATTTTGTGTGAAATTTTAGAAACAAACACAATTCATTATTTTAAGGGCATACGATACAGTAACAGGGGCAGATAATAACGTTTTCAAAACTTTTCGTGTTGTTTTCGCGACGTTGTTAATCATAACGTTGTAATTTAGCGATGTTTCTAATAAGAACGTTAACATTTCGCGACGTCGCTTTAGATGTAGTCACATTTGCAGAAAATCCACTGACGTCATAAATCCGGTTGCGCGAATTTAAAAAAAAAGTACCTGCTAAGAAAGACGGCCATATCACGAGAATTGTTATATTCATTCATTAATAATGAAGTCAACAGTATTAACTTGAAATGTAAAAAAGAATCAAATCCACATTTATAATTTTGTATGTGTTTTTATTTCATATAGGAAATGAATAAAAAGATATGTAAATAATATTACGTCAATGAGACAGAAACCCAACTTAAAAAAAAAAAGCCCCATAAGTAATTTAGATATCAACGCACTGTCTTCATCAATATATAGTATCTACACTATTTGGCAAGCTCTAAATCGTATGGAGAATTGTACTGATAAATTTAACAGAGACTATCAACAAAATAACAAAATAACATAATAAATAAATACAACGCCTCATACTGGTCCTGATTTTGAAAAGGTACATTAACAAGTTGCGGATTTTAGCGGTATTTTAGAATTTAACCCAGTGGAATATATATGTGTATGAAGAAGAACTGTCGGTGAAAAAGACACAGTTATAATAAAACCCCGTATTATCGACCAAAACAAAAACGCACTAAGCACGTTAAAGACGTTCTAAGCATATCCCCTCTTGCACACATTGAGAGAGAAAAATCGAGTTATCGACACACACGAGTTAGGTATCTGACAGTCCAGAAAAGACTCATTGATGTCAAGCTGCTGACCAAATATGAAGTATATCTGTAAGGTAGTTTCTCAGAAAAGTAACAAAATATTTGTTGGAACACTGGACGGACGGACAAACAAGGTGGTTGCAATATTGCCCCATTCCTAGATTGGAGGTGTATTACAGACAATTAAGTCAATAATCATATGTACCGTAATAAAAAAATACCCTGAAGACAAGCTTAGGCAACCTATCTATTGATATAGAATCATGCAATTTCATGCTTTAATACCGACTGCTGTACTGTTATACTACACCGTAACGGACTATTGAGACAATTATGACATGAATTTGCACGAAACAGCTCTAAATATTCACTTTTTAAACATGTTCAGAATAGTTTCTAAGCTAACCCGAGTTAATGTGGGCATAGTTATGCTATAGAGTAGGCCGTTAGTTTTCTCGTTTGAATTGTTTCACATTTTTTTTATGTCGGGGCTTTTTTTATTGTTGAATGCCGTACGGTGACATTTCATTGCTTTTATCTTCGTCATTTGAACTATGGTGGATAGTTGTCTCATTGGCAATCATACCAAGTGTCCTTATTTTTATATTATCCCAGTTACTTGTATAATTGTTTCACATTTTGTCATGTCGGGGCCTTTTGAATAATTAAAACTATGTTCAAGCTGTGTTGTCTACATGAATTGTAGGAAATGTCGGACAGAGATGCAAATTAATTTTTTTATCAGATTTATCTTTTTTTTTTCCGAACATTTCTAAAAGTAATTTACTAGAATACTTTTTAAAATGATATTTCATGATTCTAAAGAAGTTTCTGTCCAAGTTTCGTAACAATTCATAAAGGTTTGGCAAATATTTTATGCTATTTTACGAGTTACCAGCTTTATAAATTTTGATGATTAACATCATTGCTTTCGAAAAAAAATCTTTGCTATACCATGCACTGAACTTGACAGCGTAGTCGTGAACGGCGGGAATGATTTCACGACGTTGTTGCGATTAAAACTTATTTCAACGTGATTTAGCCTCTTATTGGCAAACGTTCCGTTTGCCATTAGAATTCAAGGTTTAATGCTTTTATTGAAAACCCAAGCACATGGATCCCCAGTTTTTTTATTTTGATATCAAACAAGTAATGTTTCAAGAACGCTCCGCCAAAATTTTAAGAAAAAATCAACGATCGAATTTTGTCTGTACTTCTGAGTAGACGCAAAAAAATTGTCAACTTCTTTATTTCACTAATAGTAATATAAATTCAGGAAATAACAATTGGGTTTAAGCTCATACTTGTTACAGCTTGTTGATGCCATGGATCAATGAAACATTTTACAAAAAAACCGGTTAAGTTATGACTGTTCGTTCAAAAGTATTGCTACTTTCCTTAAAAGTCCTTATTTATGAAATTTCAGGGTTTTTCCTTCAAATATGCAAATTTCGAACCAAAATATCTGAAAAAGTAAGTCATGAAGGTATTTTTTTCTTTGCATGTTTCAAAAGTACACATTGAAATTGACCTTCATTCAAAATTTCAAGAAAAAATCAACGAGGGATCTCTACTGTATCGTATGC